ACTTGACACTCTGATGAATATAAAACTTTCGTTCCTTCGGTGGAAAACGGATTTTATAATGTTTAACATCACACCTATCACCAAACGAGTATTTGACCGACAATGCTAGGCAAAATTGGTCTGAAAAAAATAAGTAGGTGTTATTGTATGGAAATTCACGCAATAAAACAGGAAAATTCTGTTTCGCTTTGACTACATAGTGAGAATTTACAAAAATGGCTTGATTGAATAATAAACTAGTAACATATTATTCATATTTAATACTAGACTGCGCAACTACTGAATATATGCCGAAAATGAACTGACGAATGCAATGTAGATGACGTACTTCTTTTGGCATTGTTTTCTATTTTCTGCTAAAATCTATTACAATTGACGAGCATAATCGTTCGAATCTTGCCGTTCTTAATAAAATGCAACGTTGATACAGGGGCAGCAATATTAAGATCTACTTGAAAATAATCTTTTAAAACGCTTAAAAGCTGTCATACATTTTGCCTCCCTTTTGCGAAGCTAAGTTGCGGATAAACCTAAGAAAGCTGCTATGCGTTAGAATACACTGTTTGCTTTTCAGTACTGCATGTTTTCGTGGAAGTATTTAAATAAGTAAAACTAATGACAGCAACACTAGTTTACCTGAAGAGGGGCGAAGTATAAACATTCCATTCTCAACACCGGGAATAAAGAGTTTCCTCTCGGCTTCAGTTCGGTTTATGTTGTACCACGCTTGACATGCGATGGAATCACTCTCAGTTGCCACATAATTCATTGGTATATTTCCAGTCCTCAAAGTTCGGGGATTAAATGCGAGATTCCAGGCTTGATTTTCATTGTCTTCTAACAGCAAAATATCTCCAGTTTCGAAGGCCAAATCAGCCGGTTCAGAAGACTTGAAATCATACAGAGCTGCAGCCATAACTTTGTACTTGCTTATGTTAATTCCAGAAGGCTCAGTAGACGTCGCGGGTTGCTTTAGCGTAGACGTTTTTGTGTTTTTATCTAATTTTGTGCCGTTTAAATCTGGTAACGGCCTCTGCGTGGACGAAGACTTTTTCCCTCGCGATTGTAATATCTTCTTCATGTCTACGAGAAGCGAAAAAGACGCATAAACTTTCCTTCACATAAACATTTTATCAATTTTAGTTTGCAGTCTTCTACGATATTATGAGAAATATGTAGACCATCTCAACCCACTCTAGGGTATATGACAGTACGCTCAGCCACAAATCAGCTTACCAAGATTCAAATCTAAAACGTGCACGGTCCTGCCAAACTGTTGGCAAGTAAGACATTGTAGATTCCCTTATCTTTGATAACTAAGCCAGAAAATGTAAATATGTTTTCACCAAATAGCCTTATATCATAAAACCTCGTTTTTATTTTTGCTTCCAGAAAAAC